CTAGCCCCGGAGCAAGTGTGAGTCTGTGTCTGTGTCTCTGTGTGCAGTGAGACGGACTGGCATCCCATCCAGTGCCCTGCCTTGCGCTCATCGTTTGCTGGGATAGGCTCCGGCTCTCCCACAACCCCGTGTTGGATAAATTGTTTAGGAAATGGGTGGACGGATAAGGTTTAAGGGACACTTCACCGTTGAAAATGTTTCAGCAGTTTCCACAGTTGAAAAAAAACTGCAGTCGTATAACTGGAAACACATTTGTTTTGCCCTAGTATGGGGCCATATGGCAGTTCTTAAAACACAATCAACTTACTTGACTCTACATTGTGTCGACACTGGAACCTCGTTGTCTCTACTGGATATAGAAAAGGCATTGCTGTGGTTCGAGGCAATACTTGAATTCAGCTGAATACTGACGGCCATTGTTGTCTTTTTATTAAGAACACTGATTCTTTTTATTGACTTCAAAAATAAATCTATGTTGGCATTTTACGTTTCGGGTTTTTATGGAAATGTGCTGTTGAGGAGTAAGCCTCATTGAGAGTGTTTACAGACTGCCCGCAGAATGTGGCTGGATGGAGAGTCAAGTGTCGCATTCATTGGTTGAAATAGTAGAAGAATTATGTTCTTTTTGTCAGATGCTCTGCGTGGGAGGACTGAATAAGAATGAAGGCGACCAGTGCTGGCTTTCAGATTGGTTACCGTTCCGATCAACGAAAGAAACGTTGAGAATGTTTTGTTTCAACGCAGTGTACTAGCCTTTGCTGGTACACAGCACATGAATTACGTTTTTTTCGTTGAGTGGCTGCCGAGTCCCTCACTTTTACCAGTCAAAACACCGATACAGCTTTTAAATCCCACAAAATGTACCTTCTTGTTCTTTTCACCCTTATGGACCACGCATCAGCTCAAGTTCTTTATTTTTCCAAAAAGAAGAAAGTCAGCTGTAATTTATTTTAATTACTTGATAGTTTTGCCAGTTTTTCTGCAATTAGCATTAAAGCTGTCTTTTTGAGTCTGTGTGTTATTTTAGAATACTTTGATGATGTAGATAGTGTAATAACTAAGTTAAATTTAATTTATAGAAATTCCTTAAAGTCTAAAATGTTTCCTATTAAACACCACCAGACACTGATTCAGAAAGCTTTAACACCAGGAGGTAATAAAAAGGAGACTGTCTTTTGTTGTTTTTTTTATTTAGAGTTGACCATTTTTGAGAGCTTACCTAACTGTTGGTTTTGCTATCCATCATAGGAAACATTTTAGACTTTAAGGAATTTCTATAAATTAAATTTAACTTAGTCCACATAATGTCATGAAGTTCAAACTATTGATTTCCCATTTATGAATTTTAGGTATCTTTGAAATGTGTTTGTTAATGGACACTGTCTCTTAACTTGTGCCAAACAAATGTTTAAAAATATTGCACTGTATTTTTATCACTGATTTGAAACAATTAAGCGACTGTATGTTGTTGAAGGCTAGTGATTTATAAAGCATCAATATAGTGATATCAACACTTGGTGGAGTTAAATCATGAGCTCTGTCCTTTCTCCTATGCTTTCAGCATTTTCCAGTTCTTACAAAAACAGAATTCTAGCACTGCAAAATATTAATTAAGTGTGCTGAATTCAGGTTTTGAGAATACACACAGTAGTGCATTAGTGTAGGCACAGCTCATGAAAGGCAGTTCAAGGTTTATAGCAGACATCTCCATTTTCGGTCTGGCTTTCCAGTTTAGAGAAACTGAGAGCTAATTCATACTTGCGTTTCCCTAGTTCATCTACATGTTGGGTTTTTTTTCCTGTAAGCCTTTGAGGAAAAACTTCAACTGATTTGAATTGACGGAAGTCGGATCAAGGCGCTTTCGAATTATTTAAACTTTTCTGTATTTCGTTTTCCCTTTATGTGCGTTCAGTTTGCTACTGCTTTGCTCCAGGCTGAGCCTGCTCTTAGCATTGTGTAACACTGGCGGTCGCTCTGTGATCCAGTCTTGCTGAAAAGCTGATAAAACTCTCCCCCACTCCTCCTGGAGCATGACTTCAGCCACCACAGCAGGACTGAGCTACGAGGAAGTGGTTCCCTCTAAACACTGTGTGGGCTGTTCTCTACAAAGCCCTTATATGTTCAGTTTCATGGTACACTGCACTCATTCAGCATTAAGGAAAGCTGCTAGCAATATTCACCATTCACCTAATTTTTTTTCACGTGAAAGGGCAGCTGACTGTTAATATTTAAATCCTTCTCGGCTTCCTTGCTGACCCTTTGATTTTGGAGACTTGAGCACATTAAATGACTGTCCTTAGGCAGCAGCTGCTTCTTGGCCAGAGTATTCTCACTTTGTACCCCTTGAACCCCTCGGACATTGTAATTCTAAAGCAAAGCAGGTTTCTTCAGGGAATTGACTCTGGATCTTTCTTTGTTGAACTTGGCCGAAGAGAAATAATGTTTTTTGAGGTTTCTTCATGATGTTACACGATAAGCCTGCTTTTTGTCTGCCATATTAACTTATTCCTATCTTATCCGACATGTCCGATACAGTCTTGAGATGTGAAACGGGAGACAAATACTGTATGTGATTTTACAGTGCCTTTGTATTGTAGCTTTAGATTGGAATGGCATAGATGATAGGGTCAGCTTCATTCGTGCAGGTTGCTTTAAGATACAGCACAAGGCTTTACTAACAATGTTAGTACTAACTAACTAACAATGTCCTGTTGTTATTATGATGGACCAGGCTGAAAAGCTAAAATGAAGGAATCAGCCTCATGTGATGTTGTTATGGAGGAACAGCTGTGGTTACTGGGTCCTGTTAAACATGTACACATCACTAGGTCTGTGAGTTACATTACAAGCAGCTTGCTCGAAAAGGTCAGAGGTGTATTACACTGCAGGCAAGAGTTTTCAGACAATCTTATGTACATTTACAAGCACGCATCTTGTAAAACAATAAAATTATTTATTGAACGAGAGATTATACTTTACAGCAGCTCAGTGAAGCCTTTTTAATAGACAATGGTTTTCCTCTGTAGCAAGGGTTGGGCTGCAGGCTGTGTTAAGATTTATATAACCCTGCTTGAAAACAGTGCCTTTCCATGTTACAGTTAAGTGTTTTAGATCTGCTTGTATTGGGGGGGGCTTATGACTCAGCTGTGTGAATTGTGAGGGTAGTTGTATTGAGGTCCTTCAGAATCATATGCATTTTATAGAAATTCATTGATTTGAAGTAGAGCTCTGTGGTGGTGCTAAATATGAGACTCATGAAGTTTTATAAACAGTACAAGACAAAGAACGAACTATGGTGTTGAACAGGAATTTAGAGAGAACCAGTTGTGCAACAACAGAGTGTTGCAGTGCAAAACGGAGGAAGAGGTAAATGTAGACAGTGCCTAAGCCTGATGCCTTGACTTTCAGAGGTCATCATAGTCATCGAGGTCATTCACTAAAGAAGTGAGTGAATGGCTTCTGTGAAATAACCAGTGGCCATACACAAGGTTAATAAAGAAGCGTTATACAATAGCTGAAAACATATGGGCAATCAAATCAGGTATATGCTGGCTCATACTGAAGTTTTCAGTTTTGTGTAATGGTAATCAGTGTTCCCTTGTTGGTAGCTAAGTATGAAAGAACAACATTCTATCGGTATGTTTTCCCTCATGTGCTTTGCAGGTTTGTTCACACCTTTAGTTTATTATACTTGTGTATATGCAGTATAATATACGGGAACACAAAACATCCTATTAAAGAATTAATAATAAATTAGATAATAACGTCTTTAAAGCAATTGCAAAAATGTTACACTGTATTTGTGATTGTGTTGGGCAGAACCAACTCGTATTGATCATAATTAGTTTAATTCCAGAAAATACAGTGGTCACGTTTAATCTGCAACTATAACATTAAAATCCAACAAAACCAAATCCAGAGTGATGTTCTGCTCTTTGGGAGTGGAGTGGAAGACTGCGGAACTGTATTGAGGCCTCGTAAGGTTTCTTGTTTCCTTGGGGTATAAAAAGAGGTAACACGCAGAAGACAATACAGCAGTAGCATCCTTCATCACGGCTCAGGTCAGAGACCACTCTGCAGGCAAATGTTCATTGATCTCCGCAAGATGGAGAATGATTACAAAAGAATCCACAAGAAAAGTTGAATCGACCACTTTACAGCGTAGTATACCTTCTTAGATGAAGAAATCTAAGGCTGCTGGTAAAAGGACACAAGTGTGTCTTGGCATCTTGGGCTGTGAGACAATTGGTCCCAGAGGTAACAGATGGAGTTTATCTTGACAAAGCATGAAGACTGGCGTCCATTATCGCTGGCATGATTATGACATTCATGTCTGGGCATGCAAAAAAGAAGCCTCTTCTGAGAGCAGACCACATTGCCACATACAGGGTGGCAGGGGGTCTGTTACGTTTTGGGAATCATGAACTCCGACATGTGCCGGGTTATTCTTGTCAGACCTCTGGTTCCTTCTCTCAAGAAGCCCACGTATGGCTAGAAATGGACATTTCAAGATGGAAAATCACAAACACAGAATGGTAAAAGCACAAAATGAATGTTTTTGACTGGCCATCACAATCTGCACACCTCAATCCAATCGAAAAAAAGTGTGTGTCAAACTCAAGAAATCAGTTCATAAAGAGCAACTAAATGGGCCTAAAAACCTAGAGCATTTCTGCCTGGAGGAATAGACGAACAAATGTCACTAGTGCCAGAACCTCATAGCACTCTACAGGAGGTGTGTATAAATTTATAATCCCTGACACAAGAAGAATTTTAAAATGTTAGCTATTGGTTAGCTACTGACTGGAGTTAAAGGAGTTAAATGACTGATTGGACATTGCTCTGTGCAGTGCAGAGGATCACAGTATGACACAGCTTATCCAATCCAAACCAGCCTCTCTGTTTTTTTTGTTTTTTTTTTTGTTCCTGTTTCATTGGTACAGTGTGAAGTAGTCTAAAATGTTTATATAATTCATCTTCATTTTTAAAAAAATCTTTAGGATCTCAAAGAACATCCCGACAACCAAAGATGTGGAACCCTTGTTGGAAATCGACGGCGACATTCGCAGCTTTGAAGTCTTCCTCTCCTCCCGGACCCCTGTTCTCACATCAAGAGACATTAAAACCTTCCTGCCATGCACTGTCAATCTGGACCCCAAACTGCGTGAGATTATTGCAGGTAAATTTCAAAGGGATTGCATGAATTTGACACATACTGTATCACGCAGTTGAGCCAGGCCTCTTGATGGCAGGTGGAACTTGGCATGCGAACTGCAAGTCCACCTTCAAGAGAGTCGACTGTGTCATCCACATTACAGGCTGTAGGCAAGCAGAAGGGACAGACAAGATGGAGACTCTTGTCTGGACGACATTACCCAGAATGTTGTGGGGAATGAGCTGCTGCCTCCAGTCACCTGGTAGGGTTGCAGTTTGAATAGCAGCTCATTCCACCCAGAATCTCCATCTTGTCTGAACCTATTATCCTTTCGTATAGGCCTATACAATGTATGGAGAGCCATAAAGGTAAAAGTGCATTCATTCAGTATAAAAGAAATTGTCAGGTCTGTGCAAACACATATTAATTTAATTGAATAGGGCGGTAATACCTACAAATCAGCTTTGTGCTTTACTGGCTATTTCTTAGTGTCGGTACACAACTTTGAACAGACCGTCCTGTTTGCGTCAGATGCCTGTCTCCTTATTGACACCTGCCGCCTCCATGTGGGAAGTTGGGAGGAATGTTTTCCCACAAACAGACGTGCTCGATATTTATTCTGAAACTCAGAAACTGCTTGCTCATCTCTCTCTCTTTCCCTCCGAGGAGGGTTCGCGGAAACTTATTTTTCTTGCAAATTGCCTCTTCACATTTCCCCTGAAGTGTTGTGTGCGTGACAATCAATTTGTTGTTGCCGAATGTTTTTTTTTTCCCATCACACTTCAGCATTTCCTCTATGGAACATAGCACTTCAGCATTGTGTTTGCTCCTGCCTTGCATGTTCCGACAGATATCGACGCATTGCTAATCTGAAATACAGTCTGTTAAACTGTTGTGCTATTTTGTCCCTCATTAATGGCTTTTTCAGTTTTTTTTTGTGCTTTCCTTTCACTCTGCAGCTAGACCTGAGAAAATTTTAACACACTTTTCTATGTTATTAGAATATATAGTGCTTTGATTTTGAATTGTTGTGTTTTGTAATTAATATAAACCTAAATGAGTGTTTTTCATGTGTTTTATATTCTCCAGTCGTCAAGGGGTATCTTATTGCGTTACGTGCCCCATATACCAGTCAAAATCATATACGGCTAAAAATGCCTTTTTTAAAACATGGGTAAAACATTCTTCCCAGATGTACGCGCGGCCAGGGAACAGCTGAACATGGGAGGGATCGCCTATCCCACGCTGCCCCTGCAGGACGCTGCTCCCCGGGCCGCCTCTGTGTTCAGCCAGCCGTCGTCCGCCTGCTCGCCCGCCGCCTCCTTCACCGGGCCCTTCAACCCCCCCGGCGTGGTCTCGCCCCAGCCGCACAGCAGCTACTACAGCGGCATGACGGGGCCCCAGCACCCCTTCTACAACCGGGTGAGCGCTCGGCCGGACCCGCCGCGGCGCAGCGTCGGGCCTGCTTTTCCCACGGTGACCGAACGTGACGCGAGGCTTTGTTTTCGTGTCTGTTTCCCCTGCAGCGGTGGCTTACACTGTCTTGTAACTCACTTTATTCCTTGGGCTAGCCAGCTAATGAGGTTGATTATGCTCTGCTACGTGTGAAAGAAGCAGTGTAGCACAGTAGTGATGGTTCAGGCACGTTTTATTTCCCCTTGTGGTTTCTGTTTGTTCTTCGTGTAAGTGTTTTGTAGCACTGAAATGTACTGATCACTGTGTTTCCCAACTTGAAGTTGATGTTGTTTTGTTTGAAAAATCCCAAAAAGATTTATATGTGCATTAAGCAAAAAAAAACATGGTAGATCAGAATTAATTATACCAATCCAAGAGGCTGCTTTATTCTTTCACATTTATTGCCCTCAGGGGGCTCATAAAAATGAATAAACATTTGACTTGTTTAAAGAAAACTAAAAATATCACAGCTTGTGGCGCCAGAAGAGTGAAGTTGCGATGTTTTGTGTCTTGTTCTTAACTCACTTAAATTATCACAGAATATTAAGAATGCAGTCGTTAAACTATTCTCTTTCTGGTTTATTTTTTATTTTTAACTCATTACATACATTTAGTTTATTCTTCAAAATGACAAAAAAAAATCCCTTAGTATTGCTGCACAGTGTTTTGGTAATCCTTCTTCCCCCAAAAAACTTGTAACTTGCAGGTCACGAAGGATGGCTTCACTAGTAACAAAATGCTGAAGGTCATTACTTGTGTGCCAGTCTCCTTACGTTCATAACTCTTTTTAAGCAGGTTTAAAATCTGAAACTGTTCCAATGATTTATAAAGATGTAAGTGAACATAAATATGTCTTAAGAACTACACTCACGGCAGTGTCAGTAGGGAGAGGCCCCATCTAAATATCTTCTGTCTGTTTTGTGTTGTCCTTGGCAAGAGCCAGAGTTCGAACCTTGGTCCCGCCACTTGCCAGCTGTGATGAAGATCTACTGGCCAGTGACAGAGTACCATTGTGGGTGGGAATGGGAATGGTCAACACCAGGTCCCGAGCGTTCCTGTAGCCTGGCAGTGAAGCCTGGGAGGGCTGTGCTTCTCCTCCAATCAGCATGAGCCCTCCTGTCGGGCGCTGTGGGACCTGCGGTGTCAAAGGCTGAATGGCATGATGGGAGGTCAGGCTGGGTCTTTACTCCTCCTTTGCAGTTCCCAGCCATTGTTGTAAGGCAGACCGTAAACTTAAAATCAGACCGGGGCAAGTTTAAAATGAAAATTTGAAAAATCTTTTTTAAAGGTTTTAGAGCAGGACAGGAATCTCTTTAGAACGTAGCAGAAGCTTGGTCCATCCTGCATGATTGATTTTTTTTTTGCATTCCCATTCCCAGAAGCTTATCAAGGCTTTTCGAGAAGAGATGCGGCTTAAAACAACGTGACGGGGTGTTTTTTAATCACTCACAGCTCTTTACTTTAATGAGTGCTTGCAGCTTTTATTCCGAAATCCACCTGCTTTTGATTTCCTCTCGTCAACCTGTGCTTTTGTGTCATCGTTGAGCTTCAAGGAGGACTTGTTGACTTTTTCAGTAACATTCGAGCATTTTAAATGTTTCAATCACGTCTCTTTGTAATCTTTCTTTCAGGACTGAGGAGATCACGATCCTTTAAATTTGTAACCTTTTTTTAACTTCACTCACAGCTTTTTTTTTTGGTTAAAGGTAACTGAAGGAGAGCATGGTATTCAAATACCACATTTCCACTGGCGTTACACAGCTGTTGCTGAAATAGCTGGTCTGGTGTAACTAAAATCCATTACCACTGTGGTTTAGGTCTTCCTTAGGTACATCTAGCACAGCACAGTATTGTATCTTATATTCAGCCAGACCCAACTGTGCTGGTTGGAAAAATTAAGCCAGCGCTGAATCCAGGAAAGTGTGGGAGCTCATTTTCCCCCAGGTTTTCTTATTTTAATCTGAATAATTCTACTATAAACAACAAACCACTTGCACTCGCACCAGAAATGCTTTACCAAACATGCCTTGTGACATTCTGCAGTCAAATTCGTCTTCTGCCATTAACGGCTTTTCGTTCTGTGAGAGGAACATAAGGTTACTCACAAATTTAGAAACAATGAGAATAAAAATAGCGCCAAATGTTTGTTCGGCTCCATCTGTCAGCGTAAGTTTAGATTTGTGTTTCCCCAATCACATGACTTCTAGCTAACACTTCCTGAGCTGTACCTAGCAGAAAGTAGACCTTGGGACGCAGGCCGAGGCCTGGACCAGACCAGCCAGCTCTAGCTGAGCTGAAATAAGCCACTGGAAACAGGATGTAAAAAGAGATCTAGTTAGTACATTTCCTCAGTACTGGGAATGCTCAAAGGGTAGTTTTCAAGATGGGAATGTTTTTATTTTCACAAATTTAGAACTTGGTTTATGCAATCTGTTGCGAGTAGTAAACATAGAACTGTATTTTACTTAAGATGACCGGGAACGCCGTTACATACAGAATGATTGTGCCTCTTTCTGTGAGGAAAGAGAGACCCAGAATCTACCCATTTTGAAGATGAGAGTCTAGTTCCCCTGCTGTTCCCAAGCAGCTGTGTCAAATATTTAAAATGAGATGGTAATCATCTGATGTTGCTTCCCTGATAGGTCATACTTGTCAACCTGCAGAATGTTCCCCTCACAGTTTTTTTTCCTTGTGTTTAGAAACGACAAGCCTTGAATTAAATGTGTGTTTGTGTTACGCTTGCTGTCACACACCTGTTTGTGTTATAACCCCATTGTATATTTTTGAGTTCCTAAATTTTTCCTTTTTTTTCCGCATTTCCTTTCCATAGCCTTATTTTCCCCATCATGTTTGTTATCTGCCAAGACAATACGTTGGCAGTTCCCATCATCCCTTGTCACGTCCATCAGTTAAAACGGGCTTTCCCAGGGATCAAAACAATGGACTAGTAAGTATTTGGAATTCTGAATGCATCATATCTAGAAGATATTTACCAATAATTACTATAAATTCTTAGGATAATGTAGGACATTAAAAACCAAATCTTTAGAACTCAGTGCTTTAGCTTAAATTCTTTTAAATCAGGTGTGTTCTGCTTCTTGTATTATAGATATATAATCTATAATATTATTATTATTATAGATAATGTAGCTTTGAACAACATTTTGATTGAAAATGCAAACAGATACAGTTACAAAAAATGTTGGGAAAACGGTTGTTTCCTCATGTGGTCTTACTGGCTTCTGCGTTTATCCGCACCATGAAGTGAGAGTTCAGTAGTTTTAAAACTGGGTAAATGAGTCTCACTCTGCCAGCCTGATTAGAGGTTGCCTAGCAAAACTGAGAATAGTGCTGCCTGCATCATGTTCACACTCACTTCGCTGAATGCAGAAGGCCCCAGAGGAGATCTCGGCTTACAGACCTTCTAGGTTTTGATATGTCTTCGTGACATTGGATAAATGGCTTTCATAATCCAACAATTGATTGGTATCATTTGTAGAACCTGCCGTTCATTTTTCATAACCAGAGTCAGTGAAACCTGTCCTCCTGGCACTTACAAGTAATGATATTCTCTAAAAAATGAACTCAAGCTGGGAGCTGATTTGAACACGAGTGCCGTCGGGACGTACTGTAGGTGGACGCCCGAGTGTGTGTGCGCGCCAGGATCTGCTCCAGAACCTTTTTACTTTCGGCGTCTGGACACAAAGTGCAGCTGAAAAATGACATAATCGGTGGCATCCCATCTGCTTATCAGACAAACTCGGGTGAGGTTGTTCAGTGAAGCATGGCTGTACTTCCTTATGCTAATTCCTGGTAAGGGTCATGGCAGCCCAGAGCCTGTCCGGGAAATACCGGGTGCGAGGTGGGATCACGCCCTGGATTGGGCACCAGTCGATCAGGCATAGTGAAAGCAAACCCAGTGCACCGAATCTTACGTTTTTGCACAGCTGTGAAACTACATAATTTCTACTTCATACTGCTGGTGAATATAGAAGCGATTTGAGTTATGTAAACAGGAAAACACCTTAATAATCATAGCTTTTCATCCTTTAGGGCATTAATAAAATAAACTGTGACCTTTTTTTAATTCATAGAAGCCTAAAAGGGATTCCTAGCTGTTTTTAACATGAAATTTATTTTAAAATTGGAATAAAAAAGCGGGTAGCTCTCAGGACATTTAAGTATTCTTACGATAAAAACGCACCACAACAAAAAACGAGGAGTCGGTACTCTGCGAGCGTTGCCTTCCGTGGCTGTTGCTGAAATGTGAAGAAATAAACCCTGTAAAAAATTACCCTTGCTAATTATGTACGCTTTAGAAAACCTGCTGTTTTTCAGTTGTTTTTTTTCCCTCTCATCCATGCTTTTTGTTGGCGGGTCTTTTTCGTTCGTCGTCGTGTCTGGCTCGTCACTGTACCCAAGAGCCTCCCCTTCTGTTTTTGTCAGGATGTTATCAAGGAGGATGCCGATGAAGGGCTTCCCTCCCCCACTGTCCCTTCAATGGTAACACAGTAGAGACTGCGTGGTGTGGAGCAATAGCATCTCATCGCTGCTTCAGATTGAGGGCACAGATTAACCCCGTCCATCACTGAGCGTCACTAACACGATGTCATCGGTTGACTCTGGATACACACTGACCTAGATAAGGGCTCAACTAATGGCTGTGGCTGTCCGTCTGCATACGGCGTTGCCATCAGTGTTTTTGATTCAGGACATTTAAGATAAACTAACATGCGTTTCAGTCATAGTGGAAGAGCCGAGTGTAACAATGCTACAGGCATGTCAGTGTCTGTCTTTTGTGCATGGAGAGACGTTGTCATAAGTCATCAAGTCGTATGTGGTGTGGAAAAAGTTTCAGTGTGGCTTTATTCAAGAACCTACTTAAAGCGCAGTGTTTCCGAAATCTCACATCTTTTTTTTTCCAGCTGCTCTATTTTAGCCTTTTTCACTTTATTTTCCCCATTTAGCACTTACATCATTAATAAAGATACCTGCTTAGATATACATTGCTAAGGCCATGATCGTGCTTGCGAATGCCTTACAGATTGGTTTTGCTTATCAGTTGTCTTTTGATGCGTATTGAAATAACATTCTGAACTATCTGAATTTCAAAGTTCAGTTGAAAGATACACTTCTTTTCAATTTATGTTTTTTTTTAAATGACCTCAGAATTATGATTAGAAGCTCTGTTGCTTTTAACCTCACTCTTAAATTCTGAAAATTGTTAAAGGACAAAGGATTTTGGCTATTGTAAACTACATTATGATGAAATATCTTAATGTATGTAGTAAAGGACAGTTGTAAAATAATGGTTTGACTTGGATTTCGTACTAGGTTTTGTGGTAGTATTCTCAAAAGCCAAATCTTAAACTTCCCAGATTGCTCTTCTGTGCTCTTTTATACCTCTCATTCTGAATGAGCCATGACTACAGAGCCTGTGGTTTAGAATTCACTCTGCGTATTTAAGTGATTGTTAAACTATTTTTCCCCAGCTCTGAAATGAAGCTGGCAGTTTCCTGGGACAGAGTCACGTTTTATAGCTAAGAGTTCTAGTATTTACTGCTCTGTGCAGACCATGACTGACTAATACTCTGCACTCCAACTTTATTTAATGCACTCCTGATTTGTGAGAAGTGTAATGCGACCATAGACATCAGAGGTCTTTAGCTAAGCAGCAGTGCTCAGAAGACCTGCATTACTGAGAACTGAAGTCACTGTGCTTTAATTATATATGGCATTCTGCTGGAAATAATTAAAAAGGCAGACTTTGTCTTTAAACACTTGCTATTAGGTTGCTAAAAGGAAGATGTGTAATGTCTGCTGTCTATAGTTTAAAACGTAATTGTGTTGTGATGCAGGGCATTGATCTCTCTTTCAGAGGGATTATTATCGGTTCTGCTTTTACTGTTTTCAGAATGAACTAGGGCTTAGCTGTTAGAGGAACACTTCCTTGTGAGTGTGTTCATTTCTTCAGTATACATTTTTTTTTCTCTTACTGTATAAATATATTCTTATCAGTTTGGCTTTTGTTTTTTGGTGCTACATTTTTAAGTTCTTCCAAGAATGGAACTTCTCTTTTTTTGTGTATATAAAGCATCAAGGCTCTTTTATTTGTATTTTTTTTAGCCAGCAGAGTTTCTGCTTTGTACAGATGCTACATTGTTTTACGAGATAGGTGTTAATGTTTACTGGAGTGCCTCTGTACTACTACCTTCTAGCACATATCCTAACACCCATCTGTAGATGTGCAGACAAAACAGCTGTATGTTTTCGGCGATTTACTTTTGTCTTTGCCTCAAGTGTTGCTCTGCTCTAGAATTGAGTTTTAGGACAGATAATCCAGATGTAAACCCACTCTCTGCTTTTCGCTTGACTATAGGGTTTCCCGAAATAATGTGCTGGAAATTTAGAAGTGTAACAGTTTAGCTTTTAGTGTGGCTGTGTTCTTGGTATCGTTTTCTGTGTGCTGACTTGTGCGGGGAACTCGCATTATGTGAAATGAGCAATAGTAGGTTCAGTGGCTCAGTAGTCCAATTTCCGTTCCCTGCCCCCACACGACAAAGATAAAGCCATGGAAATCATGTAAGTAAAGTATATGGAAATCATTGTTTTTCATCTCTTACACAGTTGTAATCCCTGAAATACTAGAATGCAAGAAACTTTTTACCTAATCAAAATGTGGGTTCTGTTTGTGTTTCTCCTGTTGAAAACTAATGCATGTCACCTATTTCTTCCCTTCTGTCTCTCCCTTTCTTCCCAAGCAGTTTAAATTGCAGTCTTTCAAACCAAAACAGGTACTGAATCCTTTGGGCTTGGCTAGCGCAAATTTGCTACCTCATCTTGCTTCCCTAGCAAACACTAAAGCTTACTAACGTGTTACAATGACTGACGCTTTTGACACGCTTCATGTGAGAATGGATTAGAACGCAGGACGCATGATTGTGTCACATGAGTAGGAATTAACATGTGCAAACTGCATGATTTACAGTTAGCTCTCATCATATCACTTATCTCCTTAAATTCCTTTCATGCGCATAAAAATATACATACAGGGGTTATCAAAATTATTCACGTCCCTTGGACTTTTTCCTTTTTGTTGTCTTTCAATATGGAATCATATGGACCTCAGTCCCATCAAGAATCTGTGACCGGAGTTGAAAATTGCTGTTTACCAACTTTTCCCATCCAACCTGATGGAGTTTGAGCAATTTTACAAAGAAGAAAGGGGAAAAAGTGCAGTGTCCAGATGGTCAAAGCTTGTAGAAACTTATCCAAGGAGACTCAGGGCTGTAATTTCCGCCAAACGTGCCTCTACCGGATATTGACCGAAAGGGGATGAATTCATTTACAATCAAATATTTTCTAGTTTATAAATATAATTCATTTAGGGTGAGCTATAGAATGGTGTTATCAGTTTTCACATTCTAGTGTTTTGTGTTGTTCACTGGCAAAGAAATCTCAAATACATACATTGTGATCCTATATTGTAACATCATAAAATGTAAAAATTCCAAGGAGGGTGAATACCTTTGATAGCCTTTGTGTGTGAGGACATGCAGCCAGATTCAAATACCCGTTTTGATGACAGATACGTATTATCAGCTGTGTTTAATTGCCATGCCTGAGGTTACATACACTAGCAGTAGCCTTTTCTCAATTGGCAGTGTTTGGAAGGCATTCAATAATACAGGTGTTTTCCATTGGAGGCCAGAGCTTAATGAAAGTCCCTATTTAAGTGAATATTATACCGAATAATCACTTCTACTATTATATTGTAAACTAGCCAGCAAATTAGCTAATTTTTTCTCTTAATAGTTCTGTGTTCTTTTAGCATGTTCTGCAGTATTCCCTTATGGCGGAGCGGTGGCTCTGTGGCTAAGGATCTGCGCCTGTGGCTGGAAGGTTGCTGGTTTGTATCCTGCGGCCGGCAGAGGAATCCTACTCTGTTGGGCCCCTGAGCAAGGCCCTTAACCCCAACTGCTGCAGGGGTGTCGTATAAATGGCTGATCCTGCTCTCTGACCCCAGGCATCTCTCCCTGTCTGTGTGTCTCATGCAGAGCAAGAAAATTTGTATATGAAAAGACAAATTCCTAATGCAAGAAATTGTATATGGCCAATGTAAAGTAAGAAGAAGTGGACCACTCAGTGTAGAGGTCCTAGCCATTCCTTTTACCATCTGCGCCTCTGGTTCCCAGCCCTGGTGCATGGGACCTCTGTCTTCCGTTTTTTTGTCCCATTCATGTTCCTAATTGCTGTTTGATTGATTTCAATCTCAAATATGAGACAGATTTTTAGATTTACCGTCCCCTCTTTAAAACAGGGAAATGGGTTTTCTAATTGGTGTCTGTGCTGTCCCAGTTTATACCTTGGCTTCCTTTAAGAAGCAGCCAGATGAGATCTTTGGATCAATAACCTACAAAACTACCACATAGCCTGGATGGGCTGCATGGGCCTCCTGTAGATTCTAAAGTTCAAAAAAGTTTCAAAAAGTTTCAAAAGTGACCTTGTTCAGGTTTGTTACCGCAAACATGATCATTGTAAGTGTAGCACAAAAATCGCTTTTTCCACCAGTTTATTATCTTAAATGTATTATTATTATTATTATTATTATTATTATTATTTGTGGATGTCCTATCCCTCAGGAATGAGGAAGCACACCCCCATAACAAGTTAAGGAGTGGCTGCTTGAACTTTTGTATACTGAAGCGACTTTTTTTTTTTAAATCAGAGTCAGAACAAGTGAATAAAGGTTTAATGGTTTAAAAATCAGATGGACTGAAAACCAGCAGAGACAGGGGTCCTCCAGAAAGGGGCTAAGATTAAGAGCCATGGATCTGTGCTGTGTGAGAACCGCCAATTCTAATGGAGTTCTGTGGTGGGATGAATGATAATAAGACTCTCTAACCTGTTGGTGGTTTTCACAGTCGAAATCAATGGATTTTTTAAAATGTTGGAATCTTCATTTGGTTCTATGAAATGAAAGGTGTGTGGATATTCCATGCGCTTATCCCTGTAAATTCTGCCTATTTGTACTATTGTGGTATGCTCACTTCCTAACTTCACTTTCTGTATAATTCAATACATTTGGAAAGTATTTTTTCTTTAAATTATTTTAGTGGGTATATATTTTGCTTTTCACGTGATCTGCACAGTGCATTACATTGATAAAGTATGGTAAAAGCACCATATGTGCTTCTGACATTGAGTTAATGTATAACCATGGTAGATGTTTTAGGTAGAGCATATGTTTGCTGAAAAGCCTGAGTTACTAAACCAACTGAAGACATAACTTGTTCAGTGGTACGAGGTAAAGTTTGAGTGCATTAAATCTAGCGTATTAACTAAAACTTTTGAATCCCGTTGTGCTGCTTCTGAAACCTTTATCGTTTTCTTGAAGAACAAACAAAACTCCAAATGGTTCTTATTTATGAATGATTACATCCCTAGCATTCTCTTGTGTTTCAAATTAACTTGCAGTGCTCCAGGCCTAGGTAATTAAGTTTATATTAAGGAAAGCTTGTAATTATCCCGTGCTTCTTAAAAAAAAAAAACGTTTGGAGTGTGCCAGCTTTACACAGAGCTTGGCTTTCTTCTGGGTGCTGTTTTCGCCATGCTGAGCAGCAGTGTGTGAACTCAGGCTACACAGTTTTGCCTTTCTTTAATCCACTTTCATTACGCTATCATTTCCCATAGCTTATTGGCCATCAAGTGGCTAACTGATGCGCTATAGTGGAGATTTGCAATTGCAGCCAAGCACTCTGCATGCATAATCAAATTCAGTGCGCTTATGAAGCCCCCATTCTGAAAGAAGTTCTCGTTGCTCTCAATTCCAAGAAAGGCCAAATTCATTTTCTGGAAATCCGTGCTGCAAGGCAAGTGAAAATCGCTCACAGTCCTTCTTTGCCACACAGCAGCTTGTGATGAGAAAAGCATCAGCACTACACCATAAACATTTCACATGTCACAACAGCTTCTAGGTTCCTTATATGTTCTTTTAATAACTCAGTGGAAAGGGAGAGTGGGTTGCTTTCTTTGAATATCAATATACAAGGAAATATAATCCTGTTTTACTTTTTACTTTCCACTGTACAATTAACCAAGACCTGGATTTTTTTTTTATTATTTCTGTCTAACAACAGGATTGATAGAATTTAGATTAAATGTTCCCAAGAAATGTTTAGGATTTTAGTGTATTGTATTTTCTCTTAAGACAAATGAATGAAAAGTGTTTTTTTATTTCAATTTGGAACAAAAAATATTTTTAACACTTGTTAAATTTAGTGCAGATGGATCTGATAATGTGTGGTTTTATCTCGAAGACTGACAGCTCTTATACGGTCTTAAGATATTTTCCTTAAAGATCATACCGATCAGATAACACAAAACACACTATGAAATTATTAAGTCAGGCCATGCTACTTCCAAGGTTAAAAGATTTTTGGGAAGAAATATAAATATAAATGTCTCTTACTTTTTAAAGGGATGTTTATTTGGGTGATATTTTGTATGCACTGGGATGTATACTGTCCTTTGATGAGATTCTTTCAGCTCCTTCCTTTTCCTTGCTATCAATCAAACTGTTTTGGTTTACAGATTTTATGACTTGTTTCAGATCTGACAATAAATGTTGTGACCCAAGTGACTCACTACTCCTGGTCTTAAAGACTCCAGCCACACAGGATTTTTGTCTGTCCTGATCTTTTGGAAATTTAGTTGTAGTAATTAATTGCTCAGAATTAGCAATTCTGAGCTAATTAAATTAGCAGAACCAATTAAAATTGTTTATGTATTTTGAGAAGTAAAAGTAATCTAAATACTCATTACCATAAGTATTGAAGTTCAAATTCCATTTGTCTGTATTCTTATTTCTTCCAGATTGGGTCGCTATACTTATATTATAAGCAAAGATGTGTGATGGACTCATGGTTCTTACCATCCTGTGATTTAGCAACAGAGATCCCAGGATTTACTGTCTTTTACATGCCTTATCAAAACAATAGGAAAAACATGCACTGTTGTAGTATTTTAATATTGCATTTTCAAAATATTAGCGTTTCAGAGTGGAGGATCTTGGAAATAACTTTCAAATCTATTTTGTCTCTGAATTTCCAGTCTTTGCTGTGATATAAAGTTACTTTGAAAGAACAGCTAAATGTTTCAGTTACTGTGCTATTAGTGAGAAACAATTTTCATCACAATGTCAGTGGTTTTCACTTGGGCAGTGTTGATAACAAAGAGCTTTGTTTGAGGCACGCATACCTGTTCTTATCATCAGAATACATTTGCGTATTTAATCTGGTGAGAACATGAGTCTCTTTCAACCATTTGAATAAAGATTAAATGCGGTTAAGCATCAATGAAGGGCAGTGTTGTGCTGGATTGTGTGCTTCGAAATAGTTGAAATATATATTATACTATAAGCAAATTGTTATGGAGATGTAATACATCGGCACAAGCACACCTGGTATGACACAAAAAGCATTTATTCTCCAAATGCCTGCTATAGAGAATTAGTAACTTGAAAGCAAATAAGACGTTAATACATTAGAATTGTTATATAAGATTTTTCATTTTTGGAAAAATCACATTTTGCAAAGTGAATTTTATATAGTTCCATGTCTTTGTATTACCATATATGTAGACTGAGAGGCATTGAAAATACAATAGATGCTAGCAATTCTAATACTAGTAATTATCTAACATGTCTGAGATTAACTTTTACTTTATATACCAAAAAGCTCATATTAGAAGTCGATCTCCCACGCATTTTAATACGGCAAGAACTAACTATTTTTCATACCTAACGTTGTTTGTGTTACGTTTGAATTTGATTTTTTCCTCGCGACTAGTAGTAGTGCTCATCTTCCGATACTTTAGCTGTGAGAAACAGCTCAGTGACTTCATTTTTAATTAATTGTGTTAAACAGGGCACTGGCTCTGTGGTGTCTGGAGCACCCATGGTTCTGCTTAGTTCCATGAACACGGACTCTGTCTGCGAGAGGATCAAACTTATAGAAGGCATTGACCAGAGCATGGTGCCTCAGTATACTGCCACTATCAAGAAGGTAAGACCACATATCCCCACTTTAAACATATCATTCTGTAGAACTCTGTTTTCTGTATAAGAACTACTTCTCCACATCAGGTACTTGTGGATTCCTGTGCCACATATAGTTGGTGTCTCCCATGTAATTTCATGCAGTTATTTTTAAAATGTATTGCAATTTTAAACTTCTACCAGAAGCACCATGTACCGAATGCTAATAAAGTTTGTTTTCTAGGTGTAATGAAGAAAAACGATTCTCCTCTCTGGCCTGAATTCGTTATAGCACGGCCACGTTAATAACACACTAATAAGCACTGAGTTCTTGTGGTTCAGACACCTAGATGCATAAAGGCAAACCGGCCTAACCCAGTCTTGTGAATTCTTATTTGCAAAGCTTTTCAAAATAAGGAGTTCTTTTAAATGAACTCAGGCACGGTAACCATGTGTGTAAATCTATAGACTGTTCTTCAAAGAGAAACTGAATTGGTGTCCTTCAAAAATTTTTACCTGAAACTCTGTCTTGTAACAGGCAAATGTGAATGGCCGGGTGCTCTCTCAGTGTAATTTAGATGAACTCAAGAAGGAAATGAGCATGAACTTCGGAGACTGGCAGCTTTTCAAAGGCACGGTAAGCTGAATTCACTTCTGCGTATTGCCATACTTCTGTATTACAAAAACAAGCTCCACTCCTTGGATCATATTTGTGGAAGCTGTAACGTCTTTAAAAGGTTTCCGATTTTCTTCATTACAATCTGTCTGCGAGATTCAGCTCTGCTTAAGGTTTCAAATAAGAACACATTAACATTGTTGTGCAGATTTCCATTTATATGCACACAAATGCACTTAGTGTAGCCAAAAGCGGCCAGCCATCTGGTACAAAATGAATAAAAGACTGTGTGTTGGGGAAATTATTGTCCAAGAACAGCATCCAGTTGTAGGCATTTGAATAGAGTGAGTATTGTATAAAGCTATCTCTGCAAAAAACATACTCAGACCCTGGGATCTCTAACCTTTTGTCCCGGTGAGCCCCATTCATGATTCTCCAGTGATCCCCTACGGATATTGTTCAGTAGCTGTTATGTACCCAATTAAAGCAGTCTCCTGACAGTGCGTCAATGAGATTTGATCAGTAAATATGATGGATTAGATTCTATAATGTTTTGTGTTTGCTGTTCACCTTGAGTTGTTGGGATCCGATTATTAACATAGTAATAAAATTTGAATCACGAATTACTAGGTGACAAGTTTATGCATAGATCCGGCGTCTGTATACTTCTCGAGGGCACCGAGTATTTGGACAGGTTAATTCCACACTGAGGGGCAGAAAGAAAAGAAAAATCCCAGCCTTTTGGCGTTGTGGCCGGAAGAAGGATTGAGCAGGAATATGAGGTAGAGGGGTGGGTAGGGAGGACAAAAGGAAGAACTTGAGAATGAGTACAGGAGGGGAGAAGGGGAGTGCACAGATATCGGGGAGACTAATTCCAGGGTAAGTGTGAAAGGCTCAGATCTGTAAATGACAGATTTTGAAAAGAACAATTGATCATTGAAAGTTATGGGGATGTGTGAACCTAGATTATAAATAATTTGGGCTTCTGATGTCTGTATCGATCAGGCAGGAATCCTGGAATCTCTGTACTTCCAGGACTGAGATAGAAAGGTCAGTGTAATCTTGTCTAGTATAGGTAGATTCAACTTCCTGTCTGCTTGGAGAGATCTTCCAGCCCCACGATCCTTTTCCTGTAACTCCAAAGTAAATGGCTGCGCACTTTTGGGGAGAGAAGAAATCAGAAGGTTGTTCAGCAACCTCTTCCGAGTGATCTTGCAATACCCCGAGAGGCCAGGCATGTGTGCACCTGGGTATGGATTTGCAGCTGATACAGTGGCTCCTGGCACAACGCAGAGCGCTGGCGTGGACGATGACTGTGGACAGCTACGGGGCCTGCTGGACAGGAAGGCCATGTACACTAGGGGGACAGCTGTCCGAGAAGGCTGGGGACTGGGGAAGCGCAGGTGGAATGTGATTCTGGATGTGAAGAAAGTGCCACATTTTAACCGCTGGGTATTTTCAGTGTGGCATTTACAACTTCTTGCACTTCTCACTCAGCTTGCTGTGTATGTTTTAAATTGTCATTGTGTATAAGATGTCTTAGGCTTCCCACAATAGTGTGTTTCTCACAACACGTAATTGCACCAGTCAAATAAATAGCATCCCGTCAATTAAATAGCATTTGTTCTATATTTTGCACTGAAAGGGCACTTCCAAATGAGTACTAACATTACTGTACTTCAGTAGCTGTTGCATTGATAACTGCAGTGCTGACTGTAGCGGCTCTTCTTTCTAGGCGGTTTTTTGAATGGTAAAATGTGAAGGAGAACGAATTTGTTCACATATCCCATGCGACATGTTTTGGTACATTACTCCAGGGGGTGAAATAGGCTGTATAAGAAGGCCCTGACAGACATCCAGAGAATCACACTAAAGCCGATTCATCCTCAAGGTCAACCCTCAGCCCCTGTGATGTTCCTTCATCCTCTTCCCACGCCCGCGCAGGTAAATGAGTTGCGCCACCTGGAGAGCCAGATAATCCATGAAGACGCCCGGGCGGTCAGCGAGCAAGGAAGCAGCGTGGTGGGGCACGGCGAGCCGGCCAGGCGGCAGGCTCCGAGCTCCGAGAGTGCGGGCAACCCCGACGGCTCCCTCATGTACAACCTGAACTTCAGCTTCGAGGAGCTCAGCACCATAGGGCTGGATGAGCCGACCCGCCAGAGCCACCCCTCCTGGACGGTTTGTACTGCTGCCTGCGGTCATTCACACAGCTGGTCGGGATGGCCTATGTTTCGCAGCACCCTGTTGTGTAACTTACTTTATTATCATCTACTGTAAAATAATGGATAGGTTATTAAGTCATTTATCAATGAGATGTTTTTTATTTCCTATTCTTATAATAGCGATATTGTATATCTAGGATCTTTATGCTCGGGTCTTATAATTATTCACAGTGCGAATTGGAATATGAGATAATTCAGTGCTTGAGGCCACGAGGCTCCTGGTTTGATCCTTGTGTTATTCTGTGCTTGTTGCAAATTCTGCTTGTACTCTGTTCTTTCGATGAGAGGCTCTCGACGGTGACTTTATAGCATTAGTTACTGATCAGATACTGGTGCAGTTGTACTCCGATCTGAATCTTCATAAGCAAAAGATTCAGCAAATCAAAGCTTGGGAAGTTTTAGATACTTAGGTACAGAAAGAAACCTATTAGAAATAACAGCTCCTGTTTCAAATATCTGATGTTTTATCAAACACATTCTTACTGAAGAAGAGCACTGTTCATCAAGAGACAGTGACTTGAGGTGCATTGATAAAGGAGCAAAGTGCATGCATGCTACAGTACATAAAGTAAATACTATTTCTAGCTCCAACTTTACTCTATTGAGCTGAGAGAACGATAACCGTCTTCAAAGCCTTGGGTGAAACATTAGCATTTTTCCTTTTTTTCACTACCACAAGACCTTTTTGATATTTTAGTGGTTTTAGAATATATATCAAAATCAGAGGCTAAAATAATCAAATGGACACAATTAAGGTTTTTCAAGGTGTTCTGAATTTTGTTTACCTTGCATGAAGACACCAAAGAGTCTAAAGATTTAATATCTGAATATGGGCTTACAGAGAAAAAAAAAGTTGGCATTCATTTTGGCTGAGCAGGTGCTTCCAGTGTGATCTTCGACCTTGGTTCTGCATGACTGTAATCTTTGTAAAAAGAAGCTTGTGAATGCTGTGGGCTACGACAAAAATATAATGCCATCTTGCTAGAAAATAAATAGAGAACCACTCAGAACCTGGAATCAGTACAGTAAGAGTCTGAGAGACACTGGGAAGGGCTTTCTCTCACTCGTGATGCTATAGCTGGACTTCCGTCTGTTTTTAGCCCTGTAATTTGGGCCTCTGACTACTAGTTTTGCCTCTGGCATCATCCTCTTCTGTTCACTACCGGGGGACTGATTCAGGTCTCTGGCTTCTATTGCAAGAGTGCCGTTGTAAGATCCGTTGTAATGGTTATATGGAACTTAGTTCTGTTGTTTTACAGCTTCATTCAGAACATTAAATAGACACCATTTAGACAACTGAAGACGCACCAATGATAAGGCAGCCATAAATTCTGTTGTATTTGAACTGAATGATAAAAGGTTAGTGGTGTGTGTCGTTTATTCCTATTCCTAACACCTTTTCGACAAATCAAGATATGCTTCCAAATATGGAATAATGAGAGAGGATGAAAGAGGAAAATATATCTGCAATGAATCGATTAATTGTAGTAGAAGACATAGAAAAAGCATTTCTAGGGTGTGTTCATTAGTTAGAGTAAGCTCAGTCAGGACAGGCAATCATTCAGAGTGCAGGTTAACTCCCGTGTTCTGCATCACCAATCAGAGTTCAGCTTAAGAACATAAAAAACATTAGAGAGGCTGCAAATGAGAAGAGACCAGACATTTGGACCACCTGGCCCGTTAGTAGCTTATTGATCCCAGAATCTCATCCAGCCTTTGTTTGAAGGAATCCAAGGTATCAGCTTCAACCACATGGCTGGTTAGTTGTTTTTTTTTACCCCATAGTCCCACAAAGCTTTGGGTTAAGAAGCGCATCCTGTTCTTGGCGCGTGTCACTGGCCGAGTGTGACTGTGCTTCCCAAAGGGGCAGTGAATGATTGACCAAGCACTGGCACAGCTGGGGGGTAGCTGGGCTTCAGCCGACCAGGGTACGATGTGCCTGTAAACTTGGTATGTTGTCAGTGAGAGCTACTGGATAGCCAGTTAAGGCTATGCCCCTGCAGGCACTGTTAGATTTGCGGTGAGAGAAATTGTTGCTGGCTTTGATGAAGTGGATGTTTCTGACGAAACTCTGCACGGCTGTCTTCCCCGTGTTGGTAAGTTAGTTAACAAGTGACGACTCAGGTTTGGAAGAGAAATGATTTTCTATGCAAAATTTTAAGAAAATCTTATGTTATTCATGCTCATTATTGTTTCTTCTCCGATCTTGTTTCTCTTCAGGCGGCCACACACAGGACTCCAAGCATGTCCAGCCTGAATTCCCAGGAATCTTCTAATGACATCTGCAAACTAACAGACAAGCAACAGGCAGAATACAGAGATGCCTACAGGGAGTATATAGCACAGATGGCCCAGCTTGAAGTAGGAAACAGCACTGGAGAGAAGCCAGTGCAGCCCCACCCTGGCCAGTTCATGCAGAGCAACCCCCTACACTCAGTCCCAGAAGACAAAGGTAAGGAAGGCGAGCAGGATGGCAGGAAGCCCTTTGCCAAAAGAGGTGGTGGCAAGTCCTCTGACATGGTGGACTATACCTCCTCCACTATCTCTACAGCAGACGCCTCCCCCCTGGACCCCATCACAGAGGAAGACGAGAAGCCAGACCACGGCGCCTCCAAGCTGCTCCTGGGGAGGAAGTTGTCATCAGAGAGGGTCAGCCTCTTCCAGGGTGCCGACCTGAAGCTCAAGGGCACCAGCCTGCGCTACCAGAAGCTGACCAGTGACGAAGATGAGTCGGGCACAGAGGAATCGGACAACACTCCGCTCCTCAAAGACGGAAAAGAGAAGAAGCCGGACGCTAAGGCGGCCGACAACAGCCCGGAAGGGAGCAGGCCCTTGGCCAAGGGGAAGGAGTATCTGTCCGATGCCATGCTGGATAAGAAGGACTCCTCTGACTCCGGAGTGAGGTCCAATGAGAGCTCCCCCAACCACTCCCTGCATGATGAGGAGGCGGATCTGTCCCAGCTGGAGAAGGCCAACCTGATTGAGCTGGATGAGGACACCCTGGCCAGGAAGAGGGGCCTACCGCGCAGCCTGAGCGGCCTGCAGGACCCCGCCATTGCCCGCATGTCCATCTGCTCCGAAGATAAGAAGAGCCCCTCCGAATGCAGCCTGATCGCCAGCAGCCCAGAGGAGAGCTGGCCCTCCTCGAAGGTCTACAACCTCAACCGCACCCCCAGCAACACCACCCTCAACAACAACAGCAACGCGCCGGCCAACCGCCGGCAGGCCACGGAGGAGCCCGAGGCCACGCGGCGCGACTCCAGGCACCTGGAGAACAGCATCCCCTCGGTGATCATCGCGCCCGGCTCCAGCACCAACCCCGCCGCGGTGCAGAACGAGAACCTGAGAGGGATCCACCTCAAGAGGGGCTTGAACGCCGGCTACGCCAGGCACTCCAAGGATGGGGCCGCTCCAGAGCTGCACACCGTCGCCTCGGCCGACACCGTCAGTTTTGGGGAGGAGCGGGAGAGCATCCTGTGAAGGGTGTTACCCTAGGGGCCCTTGGGGCTCACGGATGCAGATAGATGTTTGGTATTGTCTGTGGAGTCTGTAAAACGTGTTGATGCATCCCGGGTCGTATATTCAAGACAACGTCACTTCCAGTGCGCTGCCCTTGCTACAGGCCAAGCAGTCTCCCGTTCGGTTAATCAGAACAAAGCATATTCCGTGCACGAGGCCTGTTAAATTGAAGTCTACCTGGCAAGTTTCAAGTGCAAATTACTGTACCAAGCCAGTCCTGGCCGCAGTAAAACGAGAACACGGCCTGATGGTCTGGTCCTCAGAAAAACACTTCACTTCTTTAGACCTATAAATGTGACGTAATTCATAATGTGCTCGCGTACATCTGTTCATTTCTCTGCCCTGCTTGTGAAGTGGCAAAGAAAATTGTGGAGTGACTAATGTTATTTGAAATTGCCAGTGGAACTGGAGAGTAAACCAATATTTAGAAATTGTCATTGTGTCTAGTGTAACCTGCATGGTGATGTGCTTATTCATGTCTGGTAATTTAAATAGGGCTGCTGATTGATTAACTCCATGTTAGATGAACTGCTGCATTTCAATTCAGATTTTTGCCTGACCTTGTGACTTTCACAAAATGCCTCAGCCCTTGAATGATGATGAAAATTGCGAAAGACTGACTTCTTCCAAAAACCATAGCATGTCTACGACTGCATGCCATATTTGAATGCCAGATGTTATAGATGTAGTGCTGCGGTGGTAAAAAAAAAAACATTTCGTAAGATGACTTGTGATACTGTTAATGTCAACAGAACTTCAGTTTTCAGCCTCTAGCTGTGTAGACTTTAGGACAGCGCGTTTCTTGTGTTGTTAGAATGCCAGTGTTCATTGTTTTGAAATTCCAATCTATCGGTGGTGCTGGAACTTGTAAGTACAGTAAATCGTGGTTTTAAAAGTGTTGATCGTTCTAGAGGTGACAAACTGTGTAGCATGTACTCTATACTTAAATTGTGCTGTGGCCTGGTTAGAGCTCTGTTCCTGTATTTCTGGAGTATATTTGAAGATGTATGGCAAATAAATGTCTGATGTGTCAATATTTTTTTCCCATTGTTTTCTGGCGGGGGGGTTAACCCACATCACATAGACGATCATGTCTGCAGACATGCTTCAGGAACTTCAGTGATCATTTGAAGATCAGAGGTTTTTAGTGAACCTTAATGTAAATAAGTGTAAATTAGGCATAAAATATGGCCCGTGTTGACACATTTATTGATTTGTTATCCAGAAGAACCTTTTGATTGTTGTCTCGCTTTGTTTACATTTTCCAAAAAGAAGATACATTTTCATCACAGACTTCTGAGACGCAAGCACCTGTTCGTGTCCACCTTGAAGCATGTTTGTGGTAAATGAACTTGCTTTTCCAAATTGCTATGTCCGTCTTTCATCTGCTAAAGAATGGAAGCAGGGTTTTCACAAAATATATTAGTGTTTTTAAATGCTGGTAAAAAAACTCTTTGAACATGTTCACATTGTGCTTTTTTTAAATAGAACTGCAAACCTCATTCTCACCGTCAGTTTTGGAGAACATGCATACCGTACATACATGTACATGTTTGTTTTGTGATTTAATTGAGGATGGTGTTCACCAGTGAGTAGCGTTTAAAAGATCTTTAGGAAGAATGTCTATCATGGATATTTTCAGCAGCAACAGTTCACTGTGACCGCCATATCATAGCGAGATTAAAGTGTAGTGCAGTTTGTCAGGAGTGTGACAACGACGGCGTAGCTGAAGGTTCGTACAGAATGACCCTGGAGCTCACAATAGTGTTCAGTATGTTCTGCCCTGTCAAAAAACACATTTTTAAAAAAGCCTCCATTATCTAAACGTTCTTCCATTGTAGGCGATTCAGAGGTCACGCCTGCAGACTGCTACACGAAGGGCTATTTCATTCAAGTTGGAATAGACGATTGATTCAGGTTAATAGTACTCGTATCCTTTACGATTGCAGAACGTACATAAAGGCCAGTGTTTCTTAGGTTTATTAGTATCAAACCAAATTGCTCAATAAATTAGGTTCTTCATAGAATCTTTGAAGAAAAAAAACTTTCAATATAACATTGGCTGATGTTGACAGTAAAATGCGCAACAGAATTGAGGATTTAACAGTGTTTGAAAGAAATATTGCTTGCGGGATTTCCCTCATCCCGTATTAAATAGTGCATGTTTTGCCGAAATAGCCAGTTCGTAAAAAAAGTATGGAATAATTTATATATAGGAATATACAAGAGATTAAACGAAATACCGATGGGAATGAAGGACATTTTTCTTAACGTTATCGTGCATCATCAAATACGACTTCGGTAAAGGTTAAACCGCATAATGACACGGTGATGGATATTAACCTCTAATTGGGGAGGGTGTTTTAAAGCAGAAACAAATCACCTCTGGCTTTTAGGATTTGCGTTTTTTCAGTCAACCTGAATTTGCAATAGTCCGTAGTTAGGAGTGGATTTGCAATCTCATTTCTTTAAGATCTGCATTTCGGCCCTTCTTTTAACCTCTCGCCTTCAACGGGGTTCGAGATTGTGCTGTAATTTGCAACTTTACAAGTGAATCACAAGAACATAAAGGGTGATGACGAAGGCGTATTCGAGACAGTTGACTTCTGAGGCGATCTCCCCGCAGAAACGGAAATTTAGGGCTGGTTTAATGCCAGAGGCAACAGTACAGAACGGGGGCAGGGGGGCAGATCTTTTTGATAGCTAAAGCTGAAGTAATCAGTGAGGCCCCCCTTCTGGATTTTTTCCACGACGATGCTCTAAACGTACTTCTCCCCGGTTACTGTAGTATTATTTTAAGACGACGTGTATTGCTAATCAGTCAAAACCGCTCTCAAGGCTTGACACCTATAGTGAAGTGCCGATTAACATACTTCACGTAGAGGATGATGAACTTGTCGCCGTTTACAGCTAACCATGATGCGGAATCATTTCGCATAATGCACTATTACGCCTCGCAAATCGTTAAATTCACTCTGGTGGTAAATTACTGTCCTCACTCGCTGGAGAAACGATGTTCTAGTCTTACAGTATAGAGACTCATTGCTGATGGTTAACTACAACTCCAAATGCCGAGAGTTTGAATTTTACAGACGAAATGCCCCCGCTGGCGATGTGATCAGATAATTATAGAAATATATGTCAGCAACATATCCAAGCGCTATGCAAGTAGAAAGAGAAAGGCGTTGATGTAATGACATTTTCAAAAGCTGCAGAAGAACCTGCTGTTTGTAGCCAAAAAATAAAGAAATGTCGCGATGGCACTCTGGGTGAGCAAGAACTAGTTACCAGCTGTGGTATGAGAAGACCATACAGTGATTTATCTGTGCCGCTCAGCACAGTACGGCGCTGTTGCACGCGAGTCTTTCCTTTTGTTTTGTTTTTTTTTTCCAGTAAAATGTCTCCATACCTACTGCACGCCACCCGCAGCACCTTCATTTAAAACCCTGGAGACGAGCTCAGTTTCCATTTCCCACGGGTACTTTCTATTCTTGAAGTCACCCATTAATCACACGACACTCTTCGCAATAAAAAAAAGCGATAGGGGGCGTGCTACTCCCACAAAGCTGTATCAGTTAAGGAATGCGTGCAGCACATTTTCAGTTTTGTCTTCGTTAGCACGGCCGCTGAAAGACCAATATATAAGTGAATCTTCTCGCATCATTTCATAGTTCTGTCTCTCTTTGAAGAAAATAAAATATAAACCTTAAATAATATGAAAACATTAATTAAAATACATTATAAACACCCTTCCGCCCTGTCAAAAACCACTTTATTGCACTTTTACACCTAAGTCTGGTTAAAACGCCAAGAGTAGGTCCTTACTATTTTACGTTAGATTTAATCAAGTTTACCGTTTTACCTACGACGTATTGTGTGAGGTGTAAAGAATATCCTCAGGTATGGGCGTGGACGTTACAGGAAGGTGGGCCCGGGAATTTGTTTAGATCAGTCTCACCTCATTTGTAAATAACAGTCCCAAGATGTGGGCTCCTTCCCCCCCAGCTGTTTCCCTTCTAATTGGTTAATTATTGTTCCGACTCGATGCTCATGTAGAGCATCTGTGTGTTACCAGCAAGGGGGCGCTCTTTACCACTTTATTGGGACTTTAGACATATAAACGTTGCATAGGAGTATTATACGGATACTATGATTAGTACCAGTCCCGACAGAAGCTATATACCGATAGATGCACATTTTGAAATTCAATTTTATATTAATTCGGTGTGCTGTGCATGATGTTACTTTCTCCCGGATTTAAAGGGAAGTTTACTTTTTTTGTGCAACAAAAAAATCGAACTTGTGAACTGGATTCCCCAACAATCTGTCTCGCATCTGATGACCAGATCAGTTTACCCGGATTTTACTTTTATGTTGATGCTCACCGTTCGTTCACTGCGCTCAGCACATCCCTCTCGGCTTAAATACCAGTTTTCGCTTCGCCGGTCGGTCGGTGTAGTGTTTATGAGTAACCAGTAGCTGCTCTCCCCGAGTCAAAAGTACTTCCCCGGGCTGCGTGTCAAGGGCAGGGAAGGGCAGTCCTCGTAGCGCCTTCCAAACACCTGCTTAACAGGTGAAAGTTGCTGCACACGGCGAGACCAAGTCGGCTCGCACTTCACAGTAAAAGTCCCCATTGAAGAGGTCCTGCTTGCTGAACTGATTTACTGTAATTTTTTCACTACGACGTTTCGTCTGGCCAAGAAAGAGCAGCCGTACGAATCAGAATGAAAAAAAAAAACTCATTAAAGAGGAATGGGATTTGAGCTACGAGATACACACTTTTTTAAATAATGATTTGTCGGGCCAGCGGGTAATTAATGCGAAGGAACCCAGGACAAGTTTATCTATCAGATAAACCACAGGTTAATCCTTGGAAGATGGGTATATTTCTAGAGGTCGTTACACAGGAAACATTTCCCAAATCATCACATGATATATTTAAAAATGTGTTAAAAAACATACATCACTTATTTTGGGAGTGGGCGCTGGGGGGGGGCATTTTTACAGCTGTTTGAAACGTGTATTACAAGTGAACAATTCTTCACTATAAAAGCATCACCACAGATTGTACCAGTCCTGAGAAATACACCCGTCCAGAAGTTCAGGGAGACGTTCAAATAAAGCATTTGATTTATTTTGTATAAAAGGTACAATTTACAATATTACTTTTATAAAAAGTTTCAGCATAATTAAGTACAGCATTACATTGTCTGCAGAAATGTACAATCTCTGCAACTATACAAGTTAAACTCCAATCAGAGTGCACAAGATTTCACTCACACTTTTTTTTTTACAACGTCCAGTCCTCTTCACGTGCCAAAAAAGTAACACTTCTGACAAGACAGACTAAACTTTATAAAGCAACTAACCCAAGTTGTCTTCTAGTCACGCTCCACCTTTGCAAAAAAAGGCAAAGACTTGTTACGGGTGATAGGCGATTATATTCTTATTTCTTCCGGCTCCCACTGTTGGGAATATTATAACGAGCCTTCCGTTTGAAGAAAGGACCAAAAAAAAAAAGTCTTTCGATAAATATGAATGTCCGAAGAGATAACACATCACATACATCGTCCTTTTTTTTAAAAAAAAACCAAACAAAAACAAAACAGTCTTTCTCGATTTCATAAAAAGAATCCAAACTGGGGAGGACGTGTGTGGGGAGGGAGAAAAATCTGTTCCCGGGTCCCATTTATTTTTGTGTCAAAACCAAACACCTGCAAAAGATTGAGAAAGAGAGGCGTGTTTAGAAAAATGCAAACAAGGCAAGAGATCCGGACAGACTGGCGCCAGAGAGGAAGTCGCAGTTTTAACATTTAACCAAACACTCAAATACTGGGCAAACCCTGGAGTCCAGATGTACACACAGTCGTACAGTCGGGCTGCACATCCTAAGAAGTTCTCACTACAAATCTGGGAATGGATCTAGTTAATTGCAGTACTGTTGGCGCCTGCTTACTGTTTGCAGCAATTATGGGCAGACATCTAGCAGCCCGTATTACCATAATTCCCAGCATGAGTGGAACTATGTCAAAAGATCTTTGACTTATAACAGATAAGGCTAAGACAGCAGCGTTGCTTCGGTTTGGGTTATTTCAAGTACCGTTATTCTCAAGCAAATACTGCACATCATTGATTTATAGGGAAATTATGATTTGTGACAGTACACGACTTTAAGGTAGACCACCCCGAACACACAGTGATCTTACTCCCGGGGCAAAATTCACAACCTCTTTTGAAAGAAGAAAAAACGAATGATGTATTCAGAAAAGCACGTACCAGTTTAGCGAAAGAGCGTCTTGCTGTCATCTGTCATTAATTCTGTTGGAAACTCGGCCGACTGCAAACAAACAACACATTTTAGCACCCTCGCAAAACACAACGGCACATGGGTTTTACAGAATACATTTCCATTAAGCCTAACAAAGGCCACTGTACATCAGCTGCTGAGGACATTTAATTTACACGGTACGAGAACGAAGCTGCTTCTCGTGTTTTTTTTTTCTTACCGTCGTAGTGATCTGCACAAGAACTACGCTGCTACTGGGATTAGGCGTTTAAAAAGGCACAGGTGGTAGCTTCACAGTCGCTTTTCCTGTGACAAAAACAATAAAGAGTGTGCGAGCGGTTCTGCAGTTTTACCTGTAAGGAGAGAATGCCGATGTCCGTGTTGAGGGTGGTTAAGGGAGTCCTGGATGTCGCTTGCCCCGGTCGCTGATGATGGAGGCTGCTTATAGCGGAATGAGAGTCCAGGGCGATCTGTAGGTCCAGGATGTAATCAATGACATGCTGCAGGATTTCCATCTTGCTCACCTTCTTGTTCTGCGGGATGCTGGGGACGAGTTCCTTCAGTTTGGAGTAGCAGTCGTTCATGTTGTACAGCAGACTCAAAGGATCATCCACCGGGGTCTTGCTTCGGGAGATCCCGAGACCGTGCTCAGACAAACCGGCGCTGTTTTTCCTGAAGGACCTCACGGGGCTTATTGCTTTCATGTTTCTTCACTTCGGAGCCGTCGGTCAGTACGCTGCACTAAAACAGGGAGGGGAGGGGGGCAAACCGCTGCCTTCCTCGAGTTGCTACCGCCTGTTCTCTAGCGCACGGACTGAAGCGGCGAGCTGTCAGGGCTGTTTTATACGGCTCCGAGCTGGGCCTGCCCGAGCGCCGCACCACTGAGCGGCATTGGCTGGGAGGGCGACGTCGCTCACCGGTCTAGCGCCACTCCATAGGGTGAGCGGCAGCTAGCCCCACTCCCACGTCTTCCGCGTTCTTAACCAGTGAAAGCTTTTACTAGAGGTGGTCCCGAGAAAGTGCCACAGCTCCGCAGGGTAATTTTGGAAAATTGAGCCTTTACCTGTTTCTGATAAAGGGAATTAATGAATTGCGTGAGGAGATTGTCAGATCAACGCCACCGTTTGTGGTTTTTAACGAACATATGCCACCCCCTCGTACCTAGTTTGTTAAGGCATAATTTTTCATTTTATTTTTTTTTTGTAGAGGGGAATGGAACACACGTTTGACATATATGTTATGTGTATGAATGTTTGCATCGTGATCCAATAGTGTTTTGTGGTGTTTTTTTTTTTTACCGGGCCCGTTGTGAAACGATTCGCAGATAAACACGCATAAATCATTAAACAGAACTGCACATTCCTGGAGCACGTTTTCTTTGCGAGCAATCTTTTCGAGAAAGCCTCTCGAGAAAACCGTGAAGACTTAACTCCCAAGAGAATGGAAGTTAAGTGGAGAGAGAACCTAGGGGTGTGATTAATGTAAAACAAGTGTTTGTAAGGAAATGTACGCATTCATTCATATTTTATTTACACTTCCGAGGGTCACCAACTGACTGAAAAACTAAGAAAAAAACAATGCACAAAAATACAATATTTTCTTGCTTTCTCTGGTATTTTTCTAGTTTGAAAAATACAACACAATTAAAGAGCAGGGGTGAAAAAAAATAGTCAAGGTTTTCTCACAAGTTAGGTCTTGCGGTCATTTGCCGTGAGAGTGTATTGGACATACTTTTCCAGACTAGCCTTTCAAACAAGGGCAATGACCTTTTGAACCCACGTCGTGGCATTGTATATTTTAATCTCAGTTTTGGCTCCCAAGAATTGCTGTGTCTTATTAATATGTGTGCTAAATTGTTAAGGTCATAAAAAGAGGAGATAAAACCTAGTGTCATTAGTGGAAATACAGTCAAACGTTAAAATAGCAATGCACTATACAGTTCTACCTACTTTTACTTTTTTTTGCTTATTTGGTGTGCTTGGAAGTGGTGTGTTGGGGACGAGGAGGTGACCTATAGTGATTTTGTTCTCTGTGATAACGGTGTGTGTAGGCACGACACAGTATTCGTTGAGCATTTATTAAGAGCAGAGATGTGGACAAGTACATTGATTATCTGTATCTTTATTGCCACACAACAATAGTTGGTGGAATTTGCTTTCGGTACAGCGGTACAATGAGACATACATTCAACATATACAGTATAACAATGTAAATAGGACAGAAGACAATTATATGGACACAATAGTACCTTTTTTTAAAAAAACGAGGTTAAAAGGAGAGGAGTTTGAAGAAGGGGAAGGCATTTTTACGCACATTTGTTTTTTTTAATTCTGAAGAAGAGAAAAACTATAAATGAGTTATTCTGTTCTGCTAAACGGAGCAGGGAAGCGCGGAAGATTTCCGAACGTAGCAATTACGTAATTAAAACTGCATAAAAAAGTGATCCTGCATCAGTGTAAACATGCAGCATTCCTCAGCTGGTGCCGGGGGATTGGAGCTCCCAGCGCAGAAAGCGGCAGCCACGGGGCTCCCACGGGTGGAGAGCACCGCGCGCTTCTTCGTGCCTCGCGATCCAGGGCAGTGCGTGTCTTATTGAAAACGTCGGAGAAAACAAAAAAGGTGCAATAATAGTCCCATCTGCAGCAGGGAGGTAATATACGCTACGTCGCCCCAATAAAGATGAATTCTAGGACTGAAACGGGAAAGTAAGCACGCAATAGTTGCACTACTTAGGCGTTGTGATGTCTACAATGCCCACAATACTGTCCGGAATACCGATATCGGGTAGTGTTTATAATCGGATGGCTATGTACCTAGGCTGCAATTAACCGGAGGCTTTTAATCAGCATCGAATGATTGTCTGTTAACCCCTGACTACATTTTAAAAGGATGGCTTAAATTCTATGAAATATGTCGTTCTATTTTGTTTTAGTATTCACGTGTGTCATGGAAACTGCGAATTGTGTTTGCTTGCAACTCGAGGCATCATTTGTACCGCGAAAAACAAACGAGACGCTCGGTCCCGGTGCTGCTGTGCGCTGTACAACGGTTCATTTTCACATCCACAGGAGGAGGACAGCCGTGGAGGCTAATAAATTCCTTTTTATTGAACCGACTTCGAATGATGCAAGGGACCTGAGCGTATCTCGCCCTAATCTGCAATCACTCCAATTACACTGTTCACTTAACTGGTATAATATTACACGGTCTGGACACACAGAAGTGATCTGCACGCAGAGCACTGCAGAACCATTTTGTTAGCGACGCGAAGGAAGCAGGATAATCCCGACTCAATTCCGTTTTGAAAACCCTCGTTCACTTCTAATGAGACGCGATGAGATGTGGGATTCACGACGTCTTGTCCACATCTGGTGCAATTTGGATTTTTCCCCTTTCTCTCCCCTTCTTTTTGTTCTCACAGCTGTGTACATTTCGCATGACACCCTGACTGATCCCTGACAGGTGATGAATTGGCACCGAGCAAGCAGCAGCACTGAGCAGCGCCGCGAGCTCCAGCGCTCGCCGACTCTCTGGCGCCGGCCCCGTGACGTCACCCCATTCACTGCCGCCCTCCAGCCAGTCCTCGCGGCGCCGCTCAGGCGGCTGCCATGGCGACGGGGGCTGTCAGTCAGCGCCAGCTCTCAGCTGATCAATGGGGCCTGAGCGCTGAGAAACCGGGGTTTAATTCGTCACCTGGGCCCGCTCGCTGCTCCGGGGCCCGCACACCTGCACAGATTTTGCCTCGCTTAAATTACATTTTATTTGGAAAGGGGTCACTCCTTCGCACAGTCGTGTAAGGGGAGATGCCTAGCCATAATGAAATTCAGCTGCGCTTGTAAATGAAAAGAGAAATGTCTTGGAAGAGCGTGGCTTCAGGATGACTGGACGTGTAAATTGTGACAGAATTCAAGTACTTCCAACTACAGCTGTAGACAAGTTGCGCCGTCACGGGATGACAATTGCTTGGCTTCATTTTGGGCCCCAATTACAAGCACTAACTGATATGCGATATTCTATAATCCCATCCAAGAACAAATACTTATTTTACTTCTATACAGTTTGCCCAGTGGTACAGCAGAAATGATTGCAGTACCCCAGGGGTTACGGTACGGCCGCGCAGGCGTGCCAAGCGTTGACAAACTGATCCACAGTCATAAGTTTTGAAAGTATCGAAAAAGGACTGTGAAAAATAGAAATACATGCTAAAACGTCATAGGGATTAAATTAATGACTGTAAATTCCACTGCCCGGTTGTATTCAGTAATTTAATTCTATCCTTTGCGTCCATAAATGACGCAGTTGTTGTTTTAACATTGGTAAATTTTGTACAGAAATGATAACAAAAGTATCCTCGCTGCTTGGCATCTCTGCTAATAACACTTAATTCAATTATAAACCTCAAGTGGCTTGTTTGTCTGGTTATGTTTTGGCACTACATTACAATATTCGACAGCGAGGGAGAAGTGTGTGAATATCAAATAGCCTCTTAAGATCCTTAAACTTGCAACCCCGTCATGCAGACAAGCTTCCAGTTTTCTCGAGCGAGACGGTCCGGAACGACGTTTCTCTCTTTCTTTCTTTTTCCCCCTTTTGCGTTCACAAAGGATTTCCCTGTTGCTTTTTGTGTCGGTCGCAAAAAAAAAAAGAAAAAGAGAGAGAGAGAGAGAAGAATTTTAAGTTGAAGCGATAAGGCCTGAAAAACAATACGGCATTGCCAGTAAAGTTGACGTGAGCTCGGCAGGCTGGCGTCAGGGTGTCTGCGCCGCCTTCGAGTTCAGTCGATCCAGCTATCTGCAGCTGCACTCGCTACACAGTCAGCCCGCGGAACAATAATGCTGTGGGCTGCCTCCTCTCTTCAAAGGTCCCCCCCCCAACACTGATCCCTAACATTCAGCTCTCAAATGCTGTTCACAATCCGGTCACTGTTTGTCCATTACCATCTGTGGGAAATTATCCCTTATCCCCCTCTCCACCCCCCCACACACACACACATACACAGGCATCGGGGTCGAAAATTCAGCCAAGCAACTTTCAATTCCGTGAGAGCGCAACTTTTCCTACAGCTGTAGTTTTGGAAGTTTTCAAGACTGCGATCTCCAGCAGCCCGGCTTCCTAGGCGCCGGAGCACGGCGAGGGCTCAGAATAAAAGGTTAACAAACGAACAACAACAACAACAAAAAAGGCAGTATCTCAAAAGCAGGAGCATACACTGAGAACTGTCAAATCTGGCGAACGACGCGCTACGGTTTTGTTTCAGTGTTGGAATTCTTCACCAAGAGCAGGCTGCTCCATCCTCCTTTTAAGTTTCTGTCCCCTGTCTGGGAGATCTGTAGTCATGCTCATGTCGACGAATCTGTCATTAAGCACCGCCAGAGGTCTGGTCTCAGAATAAGGTCTCGGTAGACTTGCGACAACACGCACCCGCCCTACGAATCCCCTCGCGTCCTCGCCGATACGGAATTCATTTCCACGCCAGAAGAAACCTATTTATTAAACCCACGAGCGAATGCCGTTTGTTTTTCCTCCCCCGGGCGCGATCTGCCGAGCCTTCGGTCCAGGTAGGTATAGGAAGGAGGGAGGGAGGGAGGCGGATGGCGAGGTGCGCGCCGAGCTGCCGGACAGCTCTGTCGGGGCGGCTCAGCCGGGCACCCCCGCGGCAGAGCGAGGTTTCCACGCGCCTGTCGCGTGCCGCCGAGTAACGCACGAGAAAACCGACAGGCGCGCGACTCTTGTAGGGGGAGCGTCGACCCCGGGGGGCGGGGCCTGGGTGTGCGGCCATTGTGCGACCTGAAAACAGTCAAGAGCCCGCAGGAGGCGGAGGCGCCGCCA